TTGGTTCCTTCATGTCACCTTGTATAAACTGCTCATATAATATCTGTTGGAAAATTCTGTTGGGAAACACCATCTAGTTTAGCAGCCTCAAATCCAGGGACAATTTTCCCCCTCTGAAAACTTTGTAGTTGTCTGTCCCCACTGTCCCAGCACCTTTCTCATTGTCCATGATTTCTCAGAGACAACCAACAGTGGTCCCATATCACATCAGGCAATTCTTTTGGTTACTTGGGAGGTAATTCTTGAGTTTGACAGCTTGAACTAACTTTAAGAAACTAGGCAATATCTTATGATCAGTTTCCATTTCTCTCTTAAACAAAAAAGAAAAAAAAAAGAAACCTCAGTTTTATGCTTTACAATTGAACAGGCCTGACATCTCTCCACCTCTCCACTCCTTGTTAATTTGATACTATTTACTTTCAGGTAGCTGTCCTTTCCCTTCCTCCTTCCCTCTTATATTTAGGTTGTTGATCCATGTTGAGTTAATTTTTGTAAATGAAGTAATGTCCTAATTCATTCTTTTGAATGTCTTTATCCAGTTGCCCCAGTACCAGTTTCAAAGGGACAGACTATTCTCCCCCTATTGAATGGTATTGGTGCCCATATAAAAAATGAATTGGCCATAAATATTTAAATTGATTTTTTAATTCTCAATTCTATTTCATTGGTCTATATGTCTATCCTTATGCGAGTACCGCACTCTTTTAGCTTTGTGGTAAGTTTTGAAATTGAAAAGTCTGAATCCTACAACTTTGTTTTTCTTTTTCAGTATTGTTTTAGCTATTCTGGGCTACTTGCAATTCCATATAAATTTGAGGATTGGCTTTTCCATTTCAGGGGGGAAAAACCCACCATTGGAATCTTGGTAGGGATTGCACTGAATCTGTGGATTATTTGGAGGAGTACTGTCATCTTAACAATAATATGTCTTCCAATCCATGAGCATGGGATGTCTTACAATTTAATTAGGTCTTTTTTAATTTCTTTCATCCGATGTATTATAGTTCTCATTGTGCAAATTTTATACTTCTTTGTTTAAAGTTATTCCTACGTATTTTATTATTTTGGATGCTATTGTAAATTGAATTATTTTCTTAATTTCCTTTTTGAATTGCTCATTGCTGGGGTATAGAAACACAACTGATTTTTGTCTGTTGACTTTCTACCCTACGACTTTGCTAAATGTATTTATTAGTTCTAGTAGTGTGTGTGTGTGTGTGTGTGTGTGTGTGTGTATTCTTTGGAATTTTCATATACAGAATCATGTCATCTGAAAATAGTTGTACTTCCTCCTTCCAATTTGAATTTCTTTTGTTTCATCTCTTGTTTCTTTTTCCTGCCTAATTACTCTTGCTAGGACTTTCAGTGCAATGTTGAATAAGTGGTGAAAATGGTCATACTTTTCTTGTTCCTGATCTTAAGGGAAAAGCTTTCAGTCTTTCACTATTTTATATGACATCAACTATGGGTTTTCATAAATGCCCTTTATCATGTTAAAGAAATTACCTTTTATTTTTAGTTTGGTAAATGTTTTTATCATGAAAATGTGTTGAGTTTTTTTTCAAATGTTTTCTCCATGTTTATTGAGATGATCACATGTGGTTTTTTTTTTTTTTCCTTTTACAGTTTATTACATTGCTTGATTTTCTTATGGTGCACCACACTTGCATTCTTGGAATAAATCCTACTTAATAATGGTGTATAATATCCTTTTTAAAAAAATGTTTATTCATTTTGAGATAGAGAAGCGGGGAAGGGCAGAGAGAGAGGGAGGGAGAGAAAAACCTAAGCAGCTTCTGCACTGTCAGCATACCCTGACATGGAACTAGATCCCGTGAACCATAAGATCATGACCTGAGTTCAAATCAAGAGTTGGATGCTTAATCAGTTGAGGCACCCAGGCACCCTTATATAATATCCTTTTAATTTGTTGCTGGATTTCATTTCCTAGTTTTTTTGTTGGGGATTTTTGTATCTGTATTCATAGGATATTTGTCTGTAGTTTTCTTTTCTTGTAGAATCTTTGTCTGGCTTTGGTATTTGTTCTATACTGTATTTGGTGAGTTGCTTTGCTCTGAAAATGTTACTAAGGGTCCTTTCAGTTGTCTTTGCAAGTTTTGCAACTCTTACCTTATTCTGGACTTTAGCTTTTTTGACTATTTCCTTTATGCATCTGCCTTTATTATGTGTACTCCTCTCCCTCTATACATGCATCTTTATATATCTTAAAACATATGAAGTCATCAGAGAGCTCCCTATATGGTAATACAAATACTTCCCACTTCTTCCTCTTCAGAATCAATCATCATTCCTCTCAAACTTCTATGAGGGAAATAAATGTGCTTTGTTTAGCACTGTGCATAGGCTCTTCTTGTACAGTGCATAGTACATGGTAAACACTAAATAAATATTCCTCTCACAAGTAGTGACTAATTGAGCACTTACTATATGAAGGGGAATGTTCTAAGCACATTGCATAAATTAGCTCATTTTTTTTCTCCCAGTAATTTAGAAAACAGTTACTATACTTTTCCCATTTGAAAGATATGAAAATTGAGGTAAAGAAACTGTAAGTAGTTTATACAGTGTCACAAAGCTAGGAAGTGGCAGAGATAGTACTTAAACCCAAGCAGTCTGACTCTGGAATTATTCTTTTAGCCACTGTGTTTTGCTGAATAGACAATAAATAAAGGGGTGTCAGTCATGTGCTTATTCATAGCTTTACTCTGAGCATGTTAGTATCCCCATTCCTAAATATCACTCAACCAGGCATAGTTGGTTATGCCTACTGTTCTATACTTTCATTGTTACAAAACCCTGTTCTTGTTGCATTTTCCATTTCTATTAATTACATCTTATGCATCTAGGTGCTCAGATTTGCATCAACTCCTTTCTTCTGCCCATACTTTTTTCCCAAACCCCACTCAGGGTTAGTTACAAGTTCTGGAATTCAGTGGTGCCAATTGAATTAACATGTTAAACTGTCCTGTCAATCAGCTGCAAAATAATTCACTATTGATAATGATACAATGCCAAAGTTTATAAGTAATTTACTTCTTAACTAGTATATACAATAGAGGGGGTACAAATCAACTCTATAGAAGTCATCACTCTCACTCATATGAATTCTGATTTTTTTTCCCTTTAATGATAGAGAAATAGATGGAAGTGAAGTTAACACACTTGGAATTGTATATATCACTAAATATGCCCACAGGATTAAGTAGTACAGTTGAACTTTATTTGTAATGTATGAGAGCTGGACAGAAAGGGTAGAGAGAACCGTGGCTATAGAATGAATCTCCATGAAGTCTCTCATAATTATATCTTTTCCTTTCCATTCTCTTCATCACTATGCCTGGTTTGGATTTAGACAATTTTGCTTCCTAGTTGAAATCTCTGACTCTTTTCTCTATTCTCTGTCCCATCTGCAACCCACTGTTGACCTGGCTGTAGATTAATCTTCCTAGAGCATAATTCTGATGATCCATCACTTCCTTGTTCATTTTATAATGTCCTTCCAGGGTATTTGCAGCACCTGTGAGGTGTTCCCACTAGCTTTATCTAAAATAACTTTCCTTCCCCTACTCTGTATGACCACTAAACAGGATGACATTGCTTTCTCCCAGCCTCCAAGGCTCCAAGCCATTCCTCTGAAATGACTTTCCCCTGCTTTTTTTTTAAATTATTTTTTAACATTTATTTATTTTTGAGACAGAGAGAGACAGAGCATGAACAGGGGAGGGTCAGAGAGAGGGAGACACAGAATCTGAAACAGGCTCCAGGCTCTGAGCTGTCAGCACAGAGCCCGACGCGGGACTCGAACTCACATACCGCAAGATCGTGACCTGACCCGAAGTCGAACGCTTAACCGACTGAGCCACCCAGGCACCCCATTCCCCTGCTTTTTAGAAGACTCCTTATTTTACAAGAGTCAGCTTGAAAGCAAACTCTAAAGTTCTATGTGTACTGAAATGCAAAGATTTCTAAGATACACTGTTCCTTGCAAACAGCACTATGAAGAAAATTATATATAATATGCCACTTTTGAGCAAGAAAGGGGAAAAATAAGAATACATGTATTTGCATTTTTTTCTTGGATTTGCAGAAAGAAACTCTAGAAGGACATGAGACTACCTTGTTTAGTTTTGGTGGGTGGTAAGGAAAAGAGGGAAGAGTGAGACTTTTTGTTGCACACCGTATATCAGCCTGATCCATGACAAGATAGTACATCATCAGAATAAGGATTAATAAACAATCATCAAAACTAAAAAAACCTCAGGAAAGTATTTCTCAATGCCCTATTCTATGTTTCATATTATGCCTTGGGTTTAAGCTATTTTCAGTTTCTTTCTTGACTCTTGAAATACATTAAAAAAAATCTGAACAAATATCCTGACTTATTGATTGTTTTATTCCCCACCTTCAGGCCTGGAAACAATGCCTTACAAATGCCTGGTGTTTATGATATTTCTGAACTTGTAGAAAGTTGCTCCCCAGCCTCAAGGGTTTGAAGGATGAAGGATTCAAAGGGAACATCGCCTCACTAGCTTTAGAGCAGTGATTGACTGCTTCTCAGTATGTTCAGAAGTGAGAGGGATCTTGACAAAAGATAAATGAGTCTTCTAATTCATTAACCCTTCAAGCTCACTGGTTTCATTCATTAATGTACTCATTTATTCATTCAATAAATATATATTTAGCTACTAATTTGTGTCCAGGCACTGTGTAAGGCATTGAGCATCCACTGGTGAGGGAGATGAGGAATAAGTAAAAGGCGAAAGATTTATGCGATCTGAAGAGAAACCAGAGTATAGGAATAAGTAAATGTAAAATAAACTTGCATGATATTTACAAAGTGTGAAAAGTCCCATGAAGCAAATAATGAGTAAAAGTAGAGACTAAAGTTTTATTTACAGGCCTCCTAATCCCACCAAAGGGCCCAGTATTCCCAGATTACTATTTTTTTTTCTGCTTAAACAAAAATCAACTATAAAGTCTAAAGCCCAAAGTATCATCCAAAATATCCTCTAAATGAGATATAGGTGAGAGTGAGGTAGACTCATCCTGAGGCAAACTGCTCAGCTGTGAACCTGTGGAACCAGACAATTTATGTGCTTCCACAAAAATACAGTGCTGAGACAGGCACAGGACATTCCCATTCCAAAAGAGAGAAGTAGAATAGAAGGAAGGGGTAATGGATCCCAAGTAAGTCTAAAACCCCCAAGGCCAATTACCTGAACTCTTAAGAATAATCCTGTTTGGCTCAATGCTCTGCTTTCCAGACCCACTGGGGTGGCAGGCCAGTCTCCACCTCAGAAAGGTGTGGTGGAGGAGGGGGTATCCAGCATGCCTGAGGCTCCAGGCAGCCCTACCCCATGTAAGATCACTCTCTGTCCCTTTCATAAGCCCATCTTAAATCATTCATATTTTTTTTTTAGGGTATAGATTTTTGTTGTTGTTGTTGTTAATTTAAAAACACCTCTTAATGGTAGAATCTTATTTACTGGAAAAGCATTGCAAATAAGGAAATCTTGAGATCTAGAGGAATCTATGTGGCAAAGATTCAGCTTAAACAAGTCCTCAGGATGGCTTCCATTCCTTCTGGTTCTTGAGCTAATCCCGGGAGTGTTTAGTATTTTTTTTTTTTAATCTTTGACAGGAGTTATACTTAGTGTATATGTCTTAATTTATGCATTTATTTATCTTTTAATAGGTCCAGAACTGCTGAAGACTCACATCTTGGATAATGAGAGAGCTATGGCTTTACAAGTAGGTGGTAGGAATGACAGGCATGTCTATAAAGCAGAGATTTTTCAACCTGGCTTGCACAGTAGAGTCATCTGGGGAGATTTTAAAAAGTATGATGCTTGAGACCCACCCCTTATTTATTTTTCTTTAATAGCTCTGGAGTGAAAGAAAAGAGTGGATAATTTCAGAAGGCTGCCCAGCTGACTCTAAGGTTCAGTTAAGGTTGAGAACCACTCTTTAAAGCAATTTATAAGGGGAAGCCTGTGTCCTCAAGGGGGTTATCATCAACAACAATACAGAGTAAAATGAGAAAATTGGATAAATTATGTTGATTAGAAATAGCTGAATGAAGAGTGGGAAGATTCTTAATGGCAACAATTACCATTTGTTACATTTGTTATAAGTAATCACAACCCAAAACATGGCTTAATTTCCCCTTTTAACAAGTGAGAAAACTGAAGCTTGTCCAAGTTCAGTGATATGCCCTTCATCACCAGACTACTAAGTGACAAGGTCAGAATAAAGAGTGGGCAAAATCAGACACAGACATTTTTTTTTTCTCACTTGACTTAAAGAGGTTATGAAATGACCCAAGGTTAAATGCAGAGAGGAAGCCAGACTCATTGGAATATATTTGTAATTAAGACTTATGGGTTCTAACTTTGGTCCTTGTGTGTAACTTTGAACATGACTTCCCTTTAGGTTCCCCATCCATAAAAAAGAATAAAACAGCAATATATCAGGCCAAACTGTTTCAAGGATTCTGTGATGATTAAGGAATAAACTGTAAGGTACTTAGTGAATACAAAGTCATGGAAGATGCTAAACAAAAAAGTATTTTGGAAAGGTATGAAATTGTGTTTGTTTTTAGCAAACTTAAAACCTGTAGAACCATTCTGTATGATTCATATTTTTGTGAAAGGGACTCAACACGTGATCACACAAAGAAGCACATGGGTTTTCTGTGCATAATATCTGAAACTTGCCAAATATATATATATATATATATATTTTTTTTCTCACTGAGGCTATGCTTCTTTTTCAAGGAATTTTTGAGGTGGGGAAGACTTGAATAATTCTCTTGTCACTGTTGTTCACAAAGAAGAGTGTTACTTTGTGACCCAACACTCTCTGTCCCCTAAAGAGAGAATTCCTCAAGCCTTAAAATGACAGTTCCAGGAATCACATCTCAGGTCTCCGTATCCCTGCAACCTTGTGCTGTGCTCTATGAATTCAGGTGATGGGCCCATGGTCAGAAGTGTGATGGGGATACTCACAGTCACAGAATAAGCTAGGGTCAGCGTTACTCAAAGACAGAGGCAAAAAGTCTTTAGCACTAAAAGAAGTACAGTTATATTATGGAATAGAAAACAACTGCACATAGCTAGCTAGACTTTCTATGACAGGCCACTTTGGCTTGTGCTTGTGATTACCCAGGAACTTCCACTGCAAGGAACTTCTGAGAGTAGACCCACCTGAGACCAGAGGAAAAGTTACATCCAGGACTGAAATACCCTTCTCACCTGTTAACCTCTATTTTGGAATTTGGTGCCCCTTCCTGTCTCAGTTGTCTCCTGTGGAAAATGTGGGTCATGAAAATATATTCCCTGACAAACTGACAAGGATGATTTTAAAATCAACTGAGAAAGAACACAAAAAAATGCTTTTAAAACACAAAATACAGGACAAATAGAAGTTGTCTTTTTTAATTATTATAGTAGAACATAATGTCTTCATGCCTTATTTAGCACTTAAACATTTAAATTCTAATGTATCATGTTATACATATATTGGAACTTCTTAGATTGTTTAGTTGAGCATATTTAATGTTTAAAATAGACCCCAAGATCCTTGGCTCTTATTTCTTGGGTAATAAACTAAAAAATAATATTTTGTATAGTAGTCAGGGTTCTCCAGAGAAACAGAATGAGTAGAGTATACATTAATAACTAGAAAGAGGTTTAGTATGAAGGACTGGCTCAATGATTGCAGGGGCTGAGAAATCCCATGATCTGCTGTCTGTAAGCTGAAGGTCAAGGAAGGCCAGTGGTATAATTCTAATTAAAACTCAAAAGCATGAGAACCAGAAATCGATGGTGTACAAAGTCCTGGTCCATATCTGAAGACCTGAAAACAAGGAGCACTGATGTCCCAAGGCAAGAAAAGGTGTGCACCCCAACCCAAGCAGAGAACAAATTTGCCCTTCTTCTTTATTTTTGTACTATTCAGGTCCTCAACAGATTTGATGATGGTCATCCACATTAGTGAGGGTATTAATTTACAAATTAGCCCTACTGCATGGAGGGCAAGGAGATGAATAAAGAGGCAGGCCACTCCAGATTGGTAGGTAGCAGTTTTAACAAGCCAGAGAGGGAACTTACTGGAACAACTTCACGATGAGTAGATCTCTGCACCCACATGCCAGAATGTTAAAAGTTAAATAGAAGGCTTAACTGGGTTTACTCACATACACTGTCCACATGGTGTCAACAACATGGTACTCACTCAAGACAGCTGTGGTGCAGTCCTTAAGGCAGTTTCTGGTGCAGGGAAGACAAGCAGAATGCACATTTCGAGAATGGGGAGGGATGAGGACCTCCAATTGCCCAGGTGCAGGTGCAGCTGTCAAGTCCTCTCAGTAACCTCCTCCAGAGGAGGATCATCTTCTTTCCTTGGTCTTCTGATTCAAATGCTAATCTCTTCCAGAAACAGTCTCACATACACACCCAAAAATAATGTTTTACCAGCTGTCTGGACATCCTTTAGCCCAGCCAAGTTGACACATAAATTTAACCACTACACACTATAAGAGGTGCTCAAAATACCTTTTAAAATTATTTTAATATAACCATATTTGAAAAGATGCTTTGTATGAGAAAGAGGAGAGAGCATGGAGAATGACTTTTTTTTTTTTTTTTTTTTTTTTTTGCCATCATAAGATTTGTGGTAGATGTCCATCATTTTTGCCTGCCTAGGACTTCATCCAAATTTTCCTTATGAAATCATCCCTTCTTTTCTCATTTCATATGATTTGATTGGAGCTTATCCTGCCCTAGTGCAAGGTGAGCCTTGGCCTGAGCCAATAAACATATGCATCCTGTTAGCTACAATGATTGATTCAGGAATGAGCAACTGAACCAATTTTGAACAACACAAATTAGGTTCAAGATTTCTGTGGAACTGCAGGGAAAGAAATAAGCCTTTTTTTTTTTTTTATAAGGACACTAAGAAGATAAAAGCCATGAATGGAGCTACTAGCAGCCATTCTGTCAACACAAGGAGAAAGTCTGTCTGAGTTTGAAACCATTACAGAAGAATAATGGAAAGAATGAGATCAAGTCAGAATATATACTCTAAACCCCCTGCTTTTAGCCATGACCAACAGATTGGGCCATTTTGATCTGTGAACAAATCATTCTCTAATTTAGCCAAGGTTTTGGGGTTTTGTTTTGTTTGGTCTCTTATAACTAAAAGAATTTGACTAAAGCAACATTTATAATTTTTCTTTCAGATAACAATGGATATCTGTCTTCTCCGTGAGGCTGAAGACTGAAGGAATCACATCTGTCTTTTGATTTTTAAATCCCCAGTGTCTAGCAGAGCGCTTGATATGTGGTAGAAGCTCATTATGTATTGGTTGAGTAAATGCATGAAAAAAAAAAAATAGAATACCCATACTCAAGGATGTTTTGGCTTAGAATTGATTCACTATCTCAAATGCAGCTGGATTGTTGCCATTGATTTCTAGGGATATTTTAGCCTGATGAGTGAAAAAGCTTGAGGGGGCACTTGTTTACAAAAAAGATCTAATTTATCCTCTTCCCTTCCATTCCTGACCAGTTTGCAACTTCTTTTTACCATATGCAATCCTTATTAAATTTAAAAAGTCTCAGAATTTCCTAGTAGCTTGATACTTTCAAATATAACTCCTATCATAGGAAATATTAGAAAAATTATAGAATGTACCCCTGCCCTCCCCCCACCACCTTCTTTTGAGACCTACTACCTTTCTTCTTTAGGTTGCAATCTGGATTTCTCAAAAGTCTGCTAAGGTTTTATTTGGCCTATAGTTTGCATGGAACCTCCCCACATGTTTTCTACCCCACCCTTAAATAAGGCCAACACAGGTTGACTTTTGCTTAAGCTAATTTTCATCTCTGTGCAACAATTAAAATTTATTCACCAGAGATTATGACCAATAAACACCACTAACTTTAAACCATATCCTTACTCCTGTCCAATACATCCCAAAGTTTGTTGAGTTGATGAGTATTAATTTATTCATTCATGTTCCCACCTGTGCATCTAAATTTAGACACATTTATTTGGTCATAGGAAAATTATAGTGAGAGAAAGGTTAGGGTGTAATGGATTAAACATGCAACATTTAGGTTTTAAGGAAATTCTTCAAATACTAACCCAACCAAGAACTCAAGCACAGGATCAGTGTCATTAGTTAGAATGAGCTAATAGACAATGAGCTGACCAATTATAAAGATTATTCTTGAATTTTATAATGAAATAGTCTTTTCTTCTTGTCCATATCCTTAGTAAAATTGTACAGAGACTGCAGAGCAGGTGCTCAACAGGTATGCTCTTAAAAAGTGTTGATTGCCATATCGATCACTATAACTATTTAGGCTTAGTCCTGAAAGCTATTCATTCCTTTGTTTATTAGTTCTAATCAGCACCATTCTGAGTGCTATTATACTGCCTTGTAAACAATATTGTTTTGCAACCTTAAAGTCAGTAATTCTGTAGAAATTAAATTGGGTTTACAGTAAATCTATGATTACCATATAATCTGTGGAGTCTAAATAATGATGTACTTAGCTGTAGAATTGCATGTAAAACACAGAGCGATGATTACATGGCTATTTGAGGCCTAGGAAAGTAAGCAATGCCAAATGTTTTGATGGTTGAAGAGCTGAGAAATCTTTTTGTTTTTAATGTTTCAATTTAAATATTATCTTTAAACATCTTGATACTACCCTAGATGCCTTAAAAATGGCTTTAAAATCTACTACTAAATATTATGCCTTACATTGTATGTTGCAAGCTGTTTAATAAATTAAGACTTGTTACAAATAGAAAATCCATCTGATTTAAGGTGACAATAGAAAAAACTAAGCAGGCTTGCCTTTAGCAAATAATTCATCTCTGTTTTAAGGGGATCTTTCATGAAAGTGTTTAGTTTAAGCTTTAAGCAATGTTTTTAGACAAAAGAACAATTAGTCAAATGAGCATTTCATCCAAGGGCTCTTGCCTTGCAGTTTTTCTAAAGGTCTCAGTCATGACTAGACATGCTCTTAATTAAGTTAAATCAATGTATATTGCTCTCCTAATACAGCCCAAGCTCTGAGCCATGGTAATTACTGAATCTTGCAGAGTGGCCCACAGAGATATCTACAGAGGTGATATGATTGGTCAAAGTCATACTATTGCTTCATGGCAGAGTTTCGTCTAAAACTGATATGTCTTACCTCCTAATCCAGAGTCTTCCACACTACATCAAGCCCTGTAGAGAAACCACCATAAATTAGATGTAGACCCCACTCTTAAGGGGCTGAAAATTTAGTAGAGAATATGAGACAAGAAGAGCCAAAATATCACAATAACTAAAGAGCAAGAAAGCTATCACAGAGGTGTTATTGGGTAATAACGAGTAGCATGGGACTGGCATTTCAGTAGCCCAGAGATTAAGCCAACTACAGGAAGATGTGATCTCCACTAAGACACTTACTAATTCTAACCTTAATTCTTTTTCTGTAAAATTAACAAGTAGGATTGTTGTGAGGATGAAGTGTAATAATCTGTGTAAGTTAAATTCTTAGCACAGTGGTTGGTACATGGGAAGAATTCAGTAAATTTTAATTATTATTAATGGAGGGGGAAATTATGAGAGTGTCATTAGTGGGAAGGGACCACCAAATTAGTACAACTGGGAAAGGCTATGAGGAAATAGCATTTGTGAAGCAGGAAGGACAACCATGGGCCTCAGAGTTGAAAGAGAAGGAGACGGTGACATCTTCAGCAAGATTGTAGTATGTAAATATGGGAAAGTAACAAGGAAGAAAAATGAGAGGCATAGAAATAGCATGCAAGGGGCGCCTGGGTGGCTCAGTTGGTTAAGCGTCCAACTTCAGCTCAGGTCATGATCTCGCAGTCGGTGAGTTCAAGCCCTGCATCCGGCTCTGGGCTGATGGCTCAGAGCCTGGAGCCTGCTTCCGATTCTGTGTCTCCCTCTCTCTCTGCCCCTCCCCCATTCATGCTCTGTCTCTCTCTGTCTCAAAAATAAATAAAACGTTAAAAGAAACAGCATGCAAAACTTCCATTTGGGCTGAATTCATATTTAAGAAATAATAGTAACTCTATTAACCATTGATTCATAGGACTGAGATGACAAAGACATGGGAGACCACAATAATATGCAGGTGAGTTAGACCCTTCTCATGGGGAGTTTTGAGTCCACAGATGGGCATGTCAAATGTTGAGGGATGACTGAAAACTTGGAACAGTAGAGGTATGGCATAGTTGGACCTGGATTTCTGAAAAATGACTTTGGCAGTGGTGGGAAGGATACACTGCAAAAGGAAAGAATACTTTGCAGCCACAGCAGAGAAAAGCCCACCACAACAGTTCAAGTGATGGAGACAAAAGTCTGAAATAGATGGTGGCTATACAGAGGATATAATGGAGAGGGACAAGAAATGTGGTAGATTATCTTCCCAAGGGCTACCATAACAAATACCACAAACCAAGTAGTTTAAACCAATAGAAATTTATTCTCTCCTAGCTCTGAGGGTAGAAATCCAAAATCAAGGTGTCAGTAGGTCTGTGCTTCCTCTGAATGTTCTAGAGAAGCATCCTTCCTTGACTGTCTCCTAGTTTCTGGTTGTTGTCAGCAATCCTTGGTATTCTGTAGCTTATATCTTGCATCACTAATAATCCCTGACTCCATCTTCATGTAGTCTGTCCCTTTGTCCAAATCTCCATCTTCTTCCTTTTATAAAAGTTCCAGTCATTGGATTTAGGGCTCACTCTACTCCAGCATGAACCCATCTTAGTTAACTATATAAACAATTCTGTTTCCAAATAAGACCACAGTCACAGGTACTGGAGTTAGAACTTGTACAGTTCAACCTACTATATGTGGTAACCACAAACTTGAAACATGCTAAGATGTGGGAAACCAGAAAGGGGTCACTTCCATTCTCCTGCTTCTATGATTTTTTTCTAGTAAAAAGAATAAAAGAAGAAGTAGTCTTTTTGGTCCTTTGATTGGATTAGTTGAGCTTATTGAATAGGCCACATATGAGCAGACTTCTATAAACTGCCCTTCACTGAGGTTAAGCTAATGTGTACTTTCCTGTTCTGACAGCTTCCCTGGCTCTCAGCTGAAGGAGAGATCTCCTCAGGAAGAGGTTTAACACCTGGGGAAAAAAGAGGATGTGGATCCAAACTGAATACCAGGCTTTATATACCTGTCTGAGCCTCAGTGTCATAACCTATAAAATGAACATATTGAGTTGATGTAACAAATAAATGCTCTTATCTCAGTACTTACTGTATATTTAAACACTATGACTTGGTGCCATTATAATGATTATTATTCCTTTTGTTAATAATAGCCTGGGGCACCGGGTTCTCTCAGTCTATTGGGTGTTCAAATCTTGATTTTTGGCTCCAGTCATGATCTCACAGGTTTGTGGGGTCAAGCCACATGTCAGGATCTGTGCTGACAGTGTGGAGCCTGCTTGGGATTCTCTCTCTCTCTCTCTCTCTCTCTCTCTCTCTCTCTCCCTCCCTCCCTCTTTCTCCCTCCCTCTCTCTCTCTCCCTCTCTCTGCTACTCCTTCCCCATCCCTCACTCTCTCAAAATAAATAAACTTAAAAAAAATAGCCATCTTTTGATTGTTTCTTTCATCAGACTGCCTCTCAGCTTATATGACTTAACTTGCACTCCTGAATTGATCTCTGTAGGGGACTGTGCCACATTTGTCACTGGTATGCCAATTTTGAATGATTGTCTTTTTAAAAAAAAATGTTTTGTTTTTTTGTATTTATTTCTGAGACAGAGAGAAACAGAGCATGAGTGGGGGAGGGACAGATAGAGAGGGAGACACAGAATCCAAAGCAGGCTCCAGGCTCAGAGGTGTCAGCATAGAGCCCAACCGGGGACTCGAACTCAGAAACCATGAGATCATGACCTGAGTCAAGGTTGGTCGTTCAACTGACTGAGCCATCCAGGTGCCCCTTGAATGATTGTCTTAAGGCCACAGTCCGAAGGTAAATAGAGAAGATGTATGTCCCTTAACCCCTAGGTCATTTTATGCTTCCAACATAGCTTATATTTCCCTTTTCCATTCTCTCTAGGAAATTATTTATAAGTAAAATATCTAAACCACTGGGCATATTTTTTAAATTCATAGATCAAATCCTATTATGACAAACTCCAGGGGACATTTGAAACACATTTATTGTACTGAAATTTTGTTGTACTAAATATTGTTTGAAACCTAAACTGTGGCTGAGAAATATTTTCCTGAATAGATTTTTATAAAAACAGTTGCTGTAATGGAGGATTGTTTCATAAACATCACATGAAAAAATTATCATTGCTTCCTCCTCCCACCTAGTATATTTCTTGATGTGATTCATATGCCTTTAGTTTTAAAAGCCACCCAAAGACAGTGTCCTTGACACTATGAAAAGCTTCAGGTAGCTCAGTAGGTTGGTTGGTACTCCTCAAGGACAGGGGATGCTTGTCATTCATTCTTGTACCCCCAGGTCCCTGCCTGGTACTTGGAGAGTAACCAAAATAGTATTTGATAAATGGATGAATAACTAAATAACTGAATTCATTAGCATCAAATTAGAAGAACCCTCTTGAGACTGTGCCCCTTATCAGTTTATTTATAAACATTTACCAAAAATATTTTACATGTATTTAGTATCAAAGCAAAATTGGGGGTCTCACAAGAACAGAATGAGCTCCAAAGAATCATCTGAGTACCACCTGCAGGCCAATCAAAATATTGTTTCTAATTGGCATTCCTACAAGTGGTTAATTTTTCCCCTATGCCTGACTTGAAAGCACTCAGGTGCAAAATTTGTTCCTCTCTTTGAGACTATCTTAATAATCACTCCCTGTCTGAATCTTGGAACCAGAATCCCCCACTGATGGGTACAAATGAGGGAGAAATATTGTCAGCACACATGGGCACTGGCTCGTGGCAATGAAGATTTATTTGATCCAGTCAGCCAAGTGATCACCAGAAGCAAGTAATCAAGAGAATGAAATTCTAGGATGGGTTCCGCCAGTACCTCTTTTGTTCAACAATATGCCTCTGCCCATCTACACAGAGCTCAGTCCAGGGAATAGTGCATTTGTTAACTCAAATCTTGTTTGAAGATATTGACCCTAAAAATATTGAGACTTTGGAGCTCAATTTTTGTTCTTAAATGACTTTAAACTTTTGTTTGTAGCTCAGTCGATGTCACTGGGATTTATTTGGCTGCTGGCTCTGAGTCGGTATTTGAAAAGAGCAGCACCATATGCAGCACATGCATATTCAATGGTGCAGTTCTTTTTCTAGGGGGAGGGGGGAGTGCCAGGACTCATAGCTCACAATATGAATTTGCATTCCACTTTGCATAAATTTGCATGTAGACTTCATAAGCCTCTAATTTCAAGTATGTAAAATGAAACAAATCAATGCAATCTATGGCGATTGTTTTCCAAGGCATTAATCACATGAAATACATACCAGCTTTCCTTAACCAATTAATTTAATCATACCCAAGGTTAGGAGAGACAGGGAAGTGGTGAATAATGGCTGTTAAGTGCTTGGCCTAAGGCTGGAAGGATATGCAGACTAAACATTGCTCCAATATGTCTTCTTTCTAACCCCTATGTCTCCTGTGGAGATTATGTTATTGTTTGCCCACTATTTCACTTCTTCTCTCTTCAGTGAGTGGCCATAAGACTTTGAGCAATGAAATGTGGGCAAAAGCAATGCATGTCCCCTCAAAGCAGCAGCTTTAAGACCCCACACGTGGTTCAATATCTCTCATTTTCTGCCATGATATAAGCACTATGCCATCTAGAGAATGCTGTATTTGCTTGAATCCCAGGGTGCAATAAGTTGATGATATTTTCATTTGTTGTTGCTGCAGCATATTCTAGTCTATTCTGACTGATGATGCTTTTGTAGAATTATTACAATGAACTTTAGCTTCAGAGGTTTGTGTCAGTTTTGAGTACATAAGAATATGTGTGCAGTGTTGGGGTGGAGACAAAATATTAAATGATATGGTTCATGTGGTTAATAAATATATGAAGCAACTGGAGAAATAATCCATACATTCAAGATCAACTAAATGTCACCACAATGAAGAATAATAGAAGACATATTTTATCCTCCCTAATTAAGTGAGATGGAATAGACTATTTATAATACTTAAGATTGGCAAATTCATAAAATTTGGTCTGTATTTGAGACACATGCCAACTTTCTCTTTGGAAGTGCCTTGGAATTCTTCAGGTTCCATTTGGGGAAAAGTCTCAATTAAATGTCAATTTTTAAACACCTTTTGTTAGTATCTTTCAATCCACTATTAATTTAAGAGTAGAGGAATTTGAAACCAAAGGAAAGTACATAGTGAATTTTCAAACATGAAATCTTAAATCTTGAATCTGGAAAACTAGATCTTTATGTTTTTCCAAAGTGCAAAAGTTTGTGTGGCAGGAACTGAAAATAATATAGGAATACAGATTATAGAAATACATGGTAAAACTTGCCTTCCAGCCAACTAAATCTAGTGGCTTTTCTTCTACTTCCACAATGCTGTCCTACAAACTCCAGGGTTAAGCAGTCCAACACTGACCCAAGGATGCAGAATGTCAAGGGAAGAAGAAACATGCAATACCAAAGATTATTTTTATTCTCATAAGGAAAAGATTAGAAATGTAAATAAGATAGCTCCTAACAGAAATGAAGGAATCATAAATCACAAGTGTGTGGGTTCTTCTTCTTTCCCCAGGCCACATAGCCAAAAAATGGTTGTGCATTTTGCAAACTCTTCTGCACTAAGTACATTACTATTTATGCTGTCTGGATTACATGGTAATCACCCTTGAATAGAATCTGCTTCCTTCCCAGTATAATCTCTACATAATTAGTCGTTTGAAGGTTGCCTAAGAACTTTAACAGACCTCCAGAAGAATGAATTTTCTCTAAAGAAAGAAAAAAGTATTTACACAAATTTTATGCTATATGAAACAAACCTCAAGGAAAAAAAGTAAACACTTAAAGTGCTAAAACACGGGGAAAACAAAACAAAAAGAGAGAGAGAGATGGCAGTCTATCAAAGGATGGGAAGGTTATTTTACTTCCCCCCAGTTGCCCAGAAGTGTACTTGCATCTTTGATACTTTTTGGACAAAGAGATCTTCCAGCAGAGTGAGACTCTCCTGGTAGTTCTTATATTACAAATGCCACAGAATGGTTTTTCTTCACTAAATCAATTTCTTGCCCATAGCCAGAAACAGTATGTATGATTAGACGACTGGTTTTGAAAATCGTTTTCTGAGCTCTTTCCCATCTCAAATGTTTCAGAATTAGCCAGAAGTGGACTTGAACTTTTAAAAGTGGATTGATTCCTAGAGTAATAAATACCTGCTAACTCAGCTTTTGAATGAAAACTGATCTTCCAGTTTAAGAGGCATTTAAATCAAGCCCAGCGATTAATTTTATGACTATTATTCTAAATTCACTTTCTGTTATATTATTTAAATCCTTTTTGATCAGTTCATTAGCTGTTGTTATTTCCTGGAGATTCTTCTGAGGGGGATTCTTCTGCTTGGTCATTTTGGATAGTCCCTGGAGTGGTGAGGACCTTCAGGGCACTTCCCCTGTGCTGTGGTGTATAACTGGAGTTGGTGGGCTGGGCCGCAGTCCGACCTGTTGTCTGCCCCCAGCCCAGGGCTGGGGCCACAGTCAGACTGGTGTGTGCCTTCTCTTCCCCTCTCCTAGGGGCGGGATTCACTGTGGGGCGGCGTGGCCCATCTGGGCTACTTGCACACTGCCAGGCTTGTGATGCTGGGGATCTGGCGTCTTAGCTGGGGTGGGTAGGCAAGGTGCACGGGGGCAGGAGGGGCAGGCTTAGCTTGCTTCTCCTTAGGTGATCCACTTCAGGAGGGGCCCCTCTTCCGTGGGCCTCTCGTCTGCGCTGGGCTCTGGAGACTCCGTTCTGCTAATCCTCTGGCGGTTTTCTGAGTTATTTAGGCAGGTGTAGGTGGAATCTAAGTGATCAGCAGGACGCGGTGAGCCCAGCGTCCTCCTACGCCGCCATCTTCCCTCTCTCCTCGCCAAAATAATTTCATTGAAACGAGGATTATTTTCAGTTCCCCATATAGGGCGATCTGGAGAGGAGAGCTTGATCCAGCGAGACCAGATAGAATGTTCTAACAAAACCTCCAGAGTAATTAACAGGCGTTATCTACCCAAGGAATGGAACAAATAGGAAGTTCAGGTTCTAAGGAGCTGCCTTGTTTGTGCCAGTGGCCCCACGCTAGCTCTTTATTAATTGCACCACCTGGGATGCTGATAGCGAACTGAACTTTGGAACATTTCAGGCCTGGCATGGAATGCAGTTTTTACACAAGTGTCTTGTGGTTCAGAAATCCGATTTCACAGCTTATCTTCCGTTAGATGAAAGTGTTTACGGTGTGTCTGGAGCTGGAGTAAGTTCCTGCGGGTGC